AATACACTTTCCGAATGAGTTAGGAACAATATTTTTTCTACAAGCGTAGGAAATTGATTGATTTGTCCAATTGATTATTCATTCATATAGGAACAACTGACAAGAGAGAGAACTATACAGAGTAGGCCTTTGAAAACGAAACAGAGGCTCTGTAGGTCGCCAAAACCGGATTATGAAAAGAATCTGAAACACGTCAACTACATTTTCGAGGGGGACATCGTCCTACAATATTTTTAGCCCTGCGGCGTTGCCGCTGCTAACGAAAAGAAGCAACAACTTTGTTATTTCAAATGGAACACCTTGTATTTTATTGCATTTTTAGATTCTCCCCGAAGAGCTGATTCCATCAATGCATCACACTTGGGGTCTAGCTGTGATGGTTTCAGGGATATAGAGTGTTCAAAATCGAGATTTTTCAACTTTAACATTTTTTTGTGTCGAAACTATTCATTATTGGTCGAAACGGCTCTCATGTCCCTATCTCAACTTGTGATTTACTATCTACTAACATTCAATTGAAACAGATACAGGGTGATCAGAATTCTGAATCTTGAACCACCCTGTATTTGTTTCAAATAAATGTCAGTAGATAGTAAATCACAAGTTGAGATAGGGACATGAGAGCCGTTTTGACCAATAATGAATAGTTTCGACACAAAAAAATGTTTAAGTTGAAAAATCTCGATTTTGAACACTTTATATCCCTGAAACCATTACAGCTAGACCCCAAGTGTGATGCATTGATGAATTCAGCTCTTCGGAGAGAATCTAAGAATGCAATAAAATACAAGGTGTTCCATTTGAAATAACAAAGTTGTTGCTTCTTTTCGTTAGAAGCGGCGACGCCGCAGGGCTGAAAATATTTTAGAAAGATGTCCCCCTCGAAAACGTAGTTGACTTGTTCCAGTTTTTTTTGATAATCCGGTTTTGGCGACCTACAGAGCCTCTGTTTCGTTTTCAAAGGCCCACTCTGTATATTGTGGCAATTCCACTGAAGCGAAAATGACAGTAACGCTGTGTCTGTCACTTCGACAATTACAAACTCATTTGAGGTTTGATTGGCATGACAACAATAATCGTTTCTCATCAGATCAATCAAATCTATAGGGGGATTTTTATAATAATCAATATTTATTTTTCAATATTTCTTAATTGAAGGGAAAGGATTCGTTTCCAAAACGTCCATCGATCACATTTTTCTCTCATATAGGCTCCCCGATAGTAACATGTTGAAACGCAGTGACATTTTGAGGTGAATCACCTGAGTTTTCCTAATGACATGTATATTGAAATAATACTCATACATATTTTTATTTTACAGTAACGAGGAGCGAAAATCCCAAAATATCTGGAATAATTAGAATTCTCTTCTATAGCAGCAATCAAAGAAATTAAGATATGCCGTAACGCTCTCATCTCAATATTCCTCATATTACATCATGAAAAGTAATTCGGAGGTGTATATTATTAGGCTATCGGTATTTTGAAATAGCTCTATCCACTTACTGGAACTCTTAAGCAAACATATTACTGGGAAAACATAGTTGGAATCTTCAATCTTCCTATATCGAATAAATCAAACTATCTCCTCTATTAATCACTCGATAAAGTCGGCATACGGTATTTTGGTTTGGTCGTATGCTTTATGTAAATGTTTTCCAACGTTATTTGCGCATCCATTCAAATGAAATTTCTCAATACATCGGCGAATCTATGAGGAAATTAAGTGAATATCGTAATTAGGCATTATACTAGAATTACTTCGGCATGAAGTAGGTACTTTGCGGCACACCCGGCATACCAGGTGAGCTCCCAATCTTTGCTTCCCGATTGGAGTAGTTCTAGTCTGCTGATACTACAATACAGTTTCTTAGTTTCCAACATCAGTACCATGGTATATTTAGACAAAAATGATTTTCAGATGCTAGTAGTTACGTTGTACAGGGCTAGTTTTAAATGTGAACCCCCTTTATCTTTTTTGTTTCACACTCATTCAAAACAAATTCAAGCTATTTTATACAATTTCTCATGCAGATCTCACTCATATTGATAATGATGCAATATCTCTTCAAATATACAGAGTATACAGAAAAATATATTTTTTTTCAAATGGAATGCACTGTATATTTTGATAGATGTGGATTCCTCAATTCATCCTGATTTCAAATATATGATATAAGGAATTCATAACTATCAAAATATACAGTGCATTCCAATCGAAAAGTATATATATTTTCTGAATTCCCTGTATATTTGAGAAGATATTGCAACACAGTCAATATGATTGGAACCTATATGAACAATAATTGTATGAAATCTGTATAAATTTTTTTTTGATGGGTGCAAAACCAAAAAGATAAGGAGGGGTTCACATTAATAAAACTAGCCCTGTACTCCCATCAGGAAAAAAAGTATATAAGTTTGCATTTGTACCAATATTTGGACGTCCGAGATGTTTCCAATGTCTCATATTTTTAATCATTTCAAACACTCCGATATTCTGGAATTTTCGTTTTTGAACTCCTTATAATCGATAATGAATATAGTTTCGACACAAAAAAAATCCTAAAATTGAAAAATCTCGATTTTGAACACCCTATATCTCTGTAATCATCAGCTCTCCAGAATGAATCTAAAAATGCAATAAAATATAGGGTGTTCTTGTTTGAAATAACAAAGTTGCTAGTTGTTTCTGATAGAAGTGACAACACTGTAACGATGAAAATATTTGAGACGGATAGAGGATATTCAATTATCAAAGCATCCCAATTTTCAGAATGTTCTGTCGTCGTTCTCCAAATGCTTCTAATAGGCCAATCACCGTGGATCACCCTGTATGTCTTATTTCAAACGCCCCCTTCTCTATTTCTCAACTATTAGTAGAGCGATCTTTATCAAATTCAAACCTTCATGAATATCCATCTATGTGATCAGTTTTTCAGAGACGAACGTCATCTTAGACAGTGCGTTTTCATTTATATGAGAAGGGGTAAATTTTTCATGAAACCATATTTTTTTTTACAGGAAATCTCACCTCATAATATTGTTCTTGTGAGGTCAACATAAAATGGTATATTTTGTTATTTCTTTCAAATCCTGATTTTCTACCTAACGGAGCTATTGAACGTTCCAAAATTTGCTGTAAATTTGAATTCATTATTTTTTCGAGGCTGCAAATAAAAAAAATGGAGCCTATCCTGTCAACATGGAATGAGGTGTTTTTTTGCATATGGAGGGCCAAGAGTTCAGTTTTCCTGTGAAAAATCCTGATATGATTTCATAAAAATCGACCCATTTTTATTTCAATACAAAAACACAGCACTTTCCGAGATGTTTGTTCGACTAATAGCTGGGAAAAAAAGGGGGTTTGAAGTGAGACACTCTGTATGTACATGCATACATATTTTTTATACATTAAGGAAATTATAATTATCACTTCAGATATACCAATTTTTCTTGCTGTTTCATTATTTCCATTATTCTCAATGTATAACAATCTGATTTCACTTTCTCTAGACATCATTCCGGTATTGATTCTACTTAACTATTCAGTAGCCTTTTTAAGTGTTTGGATTGAATTCCAATTTCCCATTAACTTTCATGATTTCCTACTTTTTCTAGAGAATAATGTTCAAAATGGAAAATTATAGTAGTCTCAGTCACTTACTTTCTTATTCATATTGCAACATGTAGAATATCGTCAGTCCTCCAATAATGTTCACACATAAATTAGACCCATTAACCCCAACTGTGTTTGGCACCAAATACTTTTTTATAGAGTTTTCCTTCAGGCAGATCACTTCATGTGGTGGTGGACGGAGTATAGTCTGATACCGTTGCTATCTATTCCGGCGTTCCACAAGGATCAATATTGGGACCATCATTGTTCCTACTTCATATCAATGATCTGTTGGGAGCAACAACTATCCCTATCCACAGCTTTGCAGAAAATACTTTCCATATTGCGTCCTCTTCTGAAATACTCATTTCTTCCCAGGCAACTAAGAACTTACGACGTAGGCAGGTCAACGCTGTCCTTGACGATCTAGCTGAAATTACAGCCTGGGCAGCCAACAACCTAGTTGAATTCAATGCCATTAAAACTCAATCCTGTATTTTGTCTTGAAATACGTAACTCAACCTGATCAGACATCAGTACATACCATCATTGCCACCAAGACGACTATATCGATGCAGCGATGCTCGGTATGTCCATCAGCGATATAATTTCATGGAAAAATCATGTCCATGGCAGAAGCTGCTTCACAAAAATTCTGATTTTTATTCCGCGCGAAAATCTACTTCAAATCTCAATAGCTTCTCATGATCTTCAAAGCGCGGATACGGCCAGTTTCAGAATACTGTTCTCACATATGGAGTTCAGCACCAAAACATACGATGATGCTCTTAGATTCCATCCAGAGAAGAGCCATTCGCCTGGTGGGTGACGCCACACTCACTCACTCTTTGACATCATTGGAACACCGTAGAAAGGTCGGCGACCTTCACTTTTCTATCGATACTTCCACGGGAAATGTTCTTCAGAAATCTCCGCTATCATCCCTTCACTAGCAAGACCAGTCAGACGAACTAGACAAGCCCAGTCAGCACATCTTTTCGTTGTCGAACTGGAAAGATGTCGAACAGCACTTTATTAAAACTCCTTCATCCATAGAACGGCTAGGCTCTGGAATTCATTGCCTGAGGAAGTATCCCAACAACATATAATCTCCAGAAGTTCAAAAAAATTCCAATACCTACCTCCTGTCCCTAGGAACGCACGATGTTCTTTGAACATTATAGAGATTTCCTTTCGTGCGCTCCAAGCGATAAAAAAACACAATATTCAATTTTCTGTTGAATAAATCGGGAAAGAGTTGATATTTTCATCGCATAGAGAATGCGAATAGGTTTTACCAGAATTTCTTTTCACGTCCTGTATGATGAATATCAATTTGTCATACATCCAAAAATATCAATGAACTGTTTCGATTTTCCAGAAATCGAAGTCATTCCGGAAGAAGTCCATGGGAGATCTGTCCCAACTAGAAGCCGCCATCAGTCAGGGACCTTGCACCAGAATTTTCCTTATGGAAGCACCCTGTACAATAGCCCCCTACCAGGTATCGGTCAACGAGAAGCCAAGGCATCTGTTCCTCTTTTCTGACTTGCTGATCGTAGCGAAACCCAAGTCTCCTGGAAGCTTCAAATTAAAGGTATCGTATTTTCAAATCTTCATGACAGCTTCGAAGTGAAGTTGTCTGAATTCTACACTTTATTTATATTTGATAACTTCACAAGTTATAGTTGTTCAGAATTTACAAAGAAAGCTTTATTTCATATACTATATAGAAACAAATAACTCTGCAGTTGCCTAATGGAAGTTATTGTAAAATAAGCAACGAATATACAGGGTGTTAACAAATGAGTGTCACAACGGAAAACTGTAGATTCCTCATAAAAAAAGAGAAATATTTTTCCTTCACGAAATTTTTCTCCGGGCTTCCGTTTTCAATATACAGGGCGTGAACAAAAAATTAAAAAATTCAGTTTTTTGCTCTTATCTCAGGAACCGTTTGAGCTACGGAGCTGAGCCTTTGTACACACTTCATCATTAATAATGACTACTTTTAAGGCTCTTGATCAATTTCCTTGGACATGTCAGTGGCGGAGAGTTCAACGCCTCGTAAGGGTTTAACCCCCTGAACTTTCATGCCACTGAGGAAATTGTAATTCTCAAAGCACATTCTGAAACGCCAACATTTTTCACACAAAAAAAGGTCCATTCTCTTCAAGTCTTCAATGCTCTGAAGTGAATACATTTCGAGAAAAATGGCGATTCATGAATAAAAACATACAAAATCCTACTATAATTTTTATTCGAAAAATATCAAACTTGTAATTGAAATACTATAGTTATCATTAACAATAATTACAGCAACAATTAACTGAACTTGGAAGAAAAATCTTCAACACCTTAATTTTTTTATCGCTTGGAGCGCACGAAAGGGAATCCCTATAATGTTCAAAGAACATCGTGCGTTCCTAGGGAGGATAGGGATGGATAGGAGGTAGGTATTGGAATTTTTTTTGAACTTCTGATGGAGATTATATGTTGTTGGGAATACTTCCTCTGGCAATGAATTCCAATAGTTGTTCAAAATTACGACCTCCGACTTCAATGCAAGCATTGCATCTACGAATCATATTTCTTTGAACGTTGTCCATAATTCGAGGCATGTTGCCAATTTCGAGCACTGCAGCCTCAATTCTGGCCGTCAATTCCTCTAAAATATTAACTGGATTTTCATAGACTAGGCTTTTCATGTGACCCCATAAAAAGTAGTCAAAAGGTGTTAGGTCAGGTGACCGGGCAGGCCAGCTTACTGGACCACCTCTTCCAATCCACCGTCTTCTGAATGTTTTTATTCATAAATCGCCATTTTTCTCTGAAACTGTTCACTTCAGAGCATTGAAGCAAGATGACCTTTTTTGTGTGAAAGATACTGACGCTTCAGAATGTGTTTCGAAAATTACATTTCCTCCAGTGGCATGAAAGTTTGGGGGTTAAACCCATACGAGGCGCCACTGACATATCCAAGGAAATTGGTCAAGAGCTTAAGGAGTAGTCATTATCAATGATGAAGTGTGTACAAAGGCTCAGCTCCGTTAGCTCAAACGGTTCTTGAGATAAGAGCAGAAAATTGTTTTTTTTACGCCCTGTATCTTGAAAACGGGAGCCCGGAGAAAAATGTCGTAAAGGAAAAAAAACTTTTTTTTAAGGAATCCAGAGTTTCCCGTTGTGACACTTATTTGTTAACACCCTGTATACCCTTTTCAAAGTGAAGACAACTAGCTAATCAATGTAGCGTCATCTGAAGAACCTTTTGACTTCCAGGAGATCATACGGGTATCAGAGCTGTGGCTAGCGCCATGTCCTGACTCAGAAACCGGATTCCTCATTGGCTGGCCATCCCCTGCCAAAACGTTTCTTGTCACCTTTTGCACCCAAGCAGCACGTGACACTTGGTGGCTGGAGATCCAAAGGGTGCTGTCTGCGCAGCTGCAGCTTGAGCCTCCCACCACCAACATCAGGGTGGTCTACAGGTAGTAGCAGTTAACATTATTTTATGATCAGTGATCGTATTTAGAAATTCATGACTTCAAATGCAGGGTGTCGTATTCTGGAGCCATCAAAAGAATTTTTTCTACAAACGTCAAAAAATGACAAGGTTCGCGCATTGATAACAAATTGCGAAGTGACACTTTTTTTCAGTTTCCTACGTAACCATGATATCTTGCACAAAACAATGCGCGAAATAAAACAGTGCGCGAAGTACCTATTTCGCGCATTGTTATTCAAAATATATGAGATAATTATTTTTCAACTCCATGGTCCTCAATCGAGCAAACATCCACAAAATCAATCATTTCTGAATGTTCAACAATAACTTTGTTTTATCTCTTAGAGCGCACGAAAGGAAATTTCTATTATGTTCGTGGAACATCGTGCGTACCTTGGGATGATAGGGGAAAGCCTTTTAGGCCAGTTCAACACTATTTTTTATATCAAGCTCAGCATATTTTAACTTTAGAACTATATTTTTGGACGTTTGTAGAAAAAATGTTGTTTGCAACTCGAGCGCGAAATACTTTGGTCATCTCGACTATTTTTTAACTCGGCTACGCCTCGTTAAAAAAATCAGATCTCGATCACCAAAGTAGCATTTCGCGCTCTAGATACAAAAATAACTATTTTCTACAATCGTCAAAAAATGACAAGGTTCGCGCATTGATATCAAATTGCGAAGTGATACTTTTTTTCAGTTTCTTACGTTACAATGATACCTTGCACAAAACAATGCGCGAAGTAAAACAGTGCGCGAAGTACCTACTTCGCGCATTGTTATGTAGAATATATGAGATATTTATATTTCAACTTTATGGTAATCAATCGAGCAAACATCCACGAAATCATTTATTTCTGAATGTTCAGCAATAACTTTATTTTATCTCTTGGAGCGCACGAAAGGAAATTAATATTATGTACGTGGCACATCGTGCGTACCTAGGGAGGATAGGGGGAGGCCTTTTTAGCCAGTTCAACACTATTTTTCATATCGAGCTGAGCATATTTTTACTTTAGAACTATATTTTTTGACGTTTGTAGAAAAAAATTTGTTTGCAACTCGAGCGCGAAATTTTGGTCATCTCGACTATTTTTTTAACTCGGCTAGGCCTCGTTAAAAAATCAAATCTCGGTCATCAAAGTAGCATTTCGCGCTCTAGATACAAAAATAACTATTTTAGTGGTTCAGAACATACACATGAAACATTCAGCAGGTACCTCCACAATATTACGATAAATGGTCCGATTCAGCTTCGGCTTTTTCAGTTTTGCACTCTTTTATCTCAGGGATTTCCAAAATCGAAAGAACGAAAATCCGAACAACATTTCCTTTACAAGAAAAAATGTATCAAAGGGAGTACAGCTCATTCTCTTTGCTGGAGCCGAAAAGATGGAAATCCGAAAAAAAAATCACTTGAAAAAATCTATCAAAGGGACCCGAGTGGGACACAACTACCCAAAATGAGTACATCATATTCAAATATCTGACAATAAAAAAGTTCTTGAAATATTTAAAACTGGTACTTAAGGTACTGAAAATACTTGAATTAATAATTTTAGTACTGAAGTCCTTGGAGGCTTATTAAATTGTACTTAATATGTTGAAAATGATGCTTGAAGTACTCAAAATTCCATGGTGTACATTTATTTGAGGAGTTGTTTCCCCCTTGGGACCCATGAAACTTTTTTGAAGTTTTCAAATCGTCATATCTAGCGAACGAATGGTCTGATTCAGCTCCGGTTTGTTCTGTTCTCATTCTTTCTTTTCATAGAAAACTTTGATGAAAGCGAAAAGATGAAAATCAGAAGAAATGCACTCGAGAAAATCTATCAAAGGGACCCTTGGAACTGTTCCGAAATTTTCAAATCGTCATATGACGTCCTGTATGACGAATATCAATTTACCAAACATCAAAAAAAAAGTTATGACTTGATAGATTTTTAATTATGCTATTACTGATTCGCACTCTCTATTATAGCCAGCCAACTGCATTTTCTAGTAAGTATGTCTGATAAAAACCGTATTATTAATTTGTCATTTCAATAATCCCCCAATCAATTCACTTGAACTCGAATCGAGAACAATTATACAGTTTATGAACCCAATTTTGCATTATTCTCCTGTACAATAATATCAACGTTATTGCCCAAGTCTTAAATTCATAAACGTATTTTTGTAGTTTCATTTAACGAGGCGATTTCCCATTTATCTTCGGTATTCTTGATCGGTCAGTTTTGTTACAAGATTCTTTCTGACTTGACCTTGATTTTGATTCTCAGGGATCCCCTGAGCGGTACGGAGTGCTCCAAAACGCTCGGCGTCGGCCCTGAGACTAGCTCAGGGGAACTGGCCAGGTTGGCCTTGGACGAGACCAGGGTGGGGGAATGGGCGTACACCCTGTACGCCAGGGACAGGGAAGGGGCGGCCTTGCAGCTGATTGGCTGCGAACGACCTCACTCCATACAGTTGGCCAGGTAATATTCTCAAAAAAAATATATAAAACACTAGAAATTGAGAATCAACATCATCTCACGTCCTGTATGATGAATGTCAATTGTACTTGGAGTCAAAAAATATCCACAAAAAACAGACAATGCCTTATTCACTGTATACAGTGTGTCCCACTTACCATGCTCACCATGGGTATCTTTTTAACGATGAGAGATACGAGGTCGGTTAAATGACACCAAATGTGGAGTTTGTCAAGGCGAACTATAATGTGAGAAAATATTTTGATGAAATCTATTCGTTTTTGTTTTATACGCAAAAAACAGATTTTGATCATTTTCATGTCTCCTCCGTAACTTCTTTATTTATGAAAATATTCAAATAGGAATTTCACATTCTCATGGCAGTTTTTCAAAGTGATTTCGAAAAAAATATGAAAATTATACCAACTCTTCTAGAATTTGAGATATCAGCACCAACTTCAGTTTTTCAAATGTAGTTCATAGCTCACTATGACTTAGTTACAAGAAACTTTTTTTTCTCTTACAGATGATATGTCGCAGTAATGGTTTTGTGCTGATAACAACGGAGTTATCATCATTTATACAGAAACAAAAAATTATTTGAGAGCCGTCATCTTGAATTTATGAATTTTAACAAAATAATCATGATCTCCGACCTCAAAAACCCCCACTCACCAATTTTGAATGGAATCGGACCAAATCTTGTCCGCCATCTTGGAGCAGCCATTTTTGTCAATTGATGGCGGACAAGATTTGGTCCGATTCCAATCAAAATTGGCGGCTTCGAAATAATTTGTTGTTTCTGTATAAAAGACGATAACTCCGTTGTTATCAACACAAAACTATTACTGCGACATATCATCTGTGAGAGAAAAAAAAGTTATTTCTGACTAAGTTATAGTGAGCTATGACCTACATTTGAAAAACTAAAGTTGGTGCTGATATCTCAAATTCTAGAAGAGTTGGTATAAATTTCATATTTTTTTCGAAATCACTTTGAAAAACTGCCATGAGAATGTGAAATTCCTATTTGAATATTTCCATAAATAAAGAAGTTACGGAGGAAACATGAAAATGAACAAAATCTGTTTTTTGCGTACAAAACAAAAACGAATAGATTTTATAAAAATATTTTTTCATATTATAGTTGGCCTTGACAAACTCCACATTTGGTGTCATTTATTCGACCTCGTATCTCTTACCGTTGAAAAGATACCCATGGTGAGCATGGTAAGTGGGACACACTGTATATATGCATGTTGAGACGAAGTCAATTTCATCTCTCAAAGACAAGAGAAGTAGAGAATCTGTTGAAAATGTTCCTCTCCAATCTTTATACGAAAAATAAAATATTACCTACTGAAAAATAATTTTATCTTCGCCAGTGTGGATTTAATCAGGAAATTACTGAAGAGACATAGTGATAATGATAACAAACCATCCAACATACCATTCAAGCTGAAAAATTTGTTATTTTCTGATTCGTCAATAATGTTCGGAAAATACGTAACAACACTTCTGGAACAATCTCAAGATTTTGAACCACCTCAACTTTTTTTTTTCAAATCTACACTATACTTGATTCTCTCAGGTTACTTTTGCTATTTACACAATTCTTCATTCATGTGATTTGCACCACTACGGGTTGATACAGACATCGTATACCCCCTTTTCTCTTTTGTTTTTGACGCTATATTTCTGAAATTCGGATCATCGGATATGCTCACCAGAGGGCATCTTCTGACATCTCAGAAATTATTTTGCATTTTCCGGTTTATCTGGAAATGACATCAACTTTTCGATTTTTCAAATTTCATTCCATAATTGGTTAGATATAGGTAGGTAGAAAAACAAAGTAGAAAAGATCGAGGGGTATACCATGAGTCTGTATTGCCCGGTGTAGGCATTAGTCCTGATGGATATTATTTATCTTCATTAGGTTGAGAAGATCTTTATGTGCTGAAGAAGGGTTCGATCTGCAACATTGCAATAGTCGAACAATACCAAGTGATATAGTATTCGAGTTGAAGCCAAATATGAAAATTAACCAGAAGAAGTGAGTGATTGTTTCCATCTAAATGCTACTTTTTGATGAAAGTAAAAATACTAAACCAACATTATTTTTCAGATCGCCTATAAAATTTTTTCGAAAATCTGGGTCACGATTTTTCGGGGTACCACTCACCAGACTAATAACAAATAATACGTTACCACCAGTGCTCCTTGCCATATTAAGAGTACTGTTCCATAGAGCCCCATACACTCAGGGAATATTCAGACGATGTGCCTCGGCTAGGGCACTCAGAGAACTGAAAGAAAAAATCGACTGTCAAGGTAAGCAACAGGTTATACAGTGTGTCCCACTTACCATGCTCACCATGGGTATCTTTTTAACGGTGAGAGATACGAGGTCGGTTAAATGACACCAAATGTGGAGTTTGTCAAGGCCAACTATAATGTGGAAATATATTTCGATAAAATCTATTCGTTTTTGTTTTATACGCAAAAAACAGATTTTGATCATTTTCATGTCTCCTCCGTAACTTCTTTATTTATGAAAATATTCAAATAGGAATTTCACATTCTCATGGCAGTTTTTCAAAGTGATTGCGACAAAAATATGAAATTTATACCAACTCTTCTAGAATTTGAGATATTAGCACCAACTTTAGTTTTTCAAATGTAGGTCATAGCTCACTATGACTTAGTTACATATAACTTTTTTTTCTGTTACAGATGATATGTCGCAGTAATATTTTTTTGTTGATAACAACGGAGTTATCGTCATTTATTAAAAAACAAAAAATCATTTGGAATCCGCCATCTTGAATTTATAAATTTTAACAAAAAATCATGATCTCCGACCTCAAAAACCCCCACTTACCAATTTTGAATGGAATCGGACCAAATCTTGTCCGCCATCTTGGAGCAGCCATTTTTTTTATTTCAACAAAAATTCCATATCGTATTGTCACCGAAATTATAAACACCTGCCAAATTCCAAGTCAATCGGAGTTATGGAATTTTTGTTGAAATAAAAAAAAATGGCTGCTCCAAGATGGCGGACAAGATTTGGTCCGATTCCATTCAAAATTGGTAAGTGGGGGTTTTTGAGGTGGGAGATCATGATTTTTTTGTTAAAATTCATAAATTCAAGATGGCGGCTTCCAAATAATTTTTTGTTTTTGTATAATTGACGATAACTCCGTTGTTATCAACACAAGACTATTACTGCGACATATCATCTGAAAGAGAAAAAAAAGTTATTTGTAACTAAGTCATAGTGATCTATGACCTACATTTGAAAAACTGAAGTTGGTGCTGATATCTCAAATTCTAGAAGAGTTGGTATAAATTTCATATTTTTTTCGAAATTGCTTCGAAAAACTGCCATGAGAATGTGAAATTAGTATTTGAATATTTTCATAAATAAAGAAGTTACGGAGGAGACATGAAAATTAACAAAATCTGTTTTTTGCGTATAAAACAAAAACGAATAGATTTCATCAAAATATGTTTTCACATTATAGTGGGCCCTGACAAACTCCACATTTGGTGTAATTTAACCGACCTCGTATCTCTCACCGTTAAAAAGATACCCATGGTGAGCATAGTAAGTGGGACACACTGTAGAGTAGTATACCTGAGTCGGCTCTAGGTCAACATGTCGGCTTTACACCAGTACGCAGGTGCAGTGTCAGTAGTAAAATATGAATTTACTTGGCGTGCAACTAGACGATAGGCTGAACTGGGCTCCTCATATCGAATCACTAGCGAAGAAACCATAAACAAACTACACTCTATAGACCTCCAACTTCAATGGAACGACCTTGTTCCATTTTCTAGTTTAGCCACCAAACAATAGGTGGCCATTTGACATAATGAACGGCGATCTGTGATAGTGCGCAGGCGCAGGCATTGATTTCAAAATGGCGTTCATATATTGTTTAATGAATGACGATTGACATTTCTTTGTTGTGAATGTTGTAATTTTTTCCCGTCTAGAAGTGAGTTTTTTTCTCCTTTCAAATGCTTTATTCTCGATCGAACAATAGTTTACTTTTGATTCGAACAGTAGTGAAGTTTATGATGAGACTGGACTAGTGTGCAGTGCCAGGACGTGAGATTGATATTTTCTCTCCGGACATCGTTTTCCAAATTTTAGGAGAGACAATCTCAGGTTTTCAGAGAGGATAAAGTGTTTGAAGATCCTGTGATAATTGTTAAGTTATATTTCATTGTGATCATTAAAGGTGTTTATGTATGACCTAATTAAAAAAGTATGCATTTAGGTAACTTGCTCTCATTTACCGACCATTTTCATTTTAGTGTCTGTAAATTGTCGGAAAAGATGAAAGCATAAAGTGCTTATGATATTTCATCTCTAACTATTCACGAAAGCTTCTCTTTATGTCAAATATTTGAAAATATCATGAATTATTCAAAATTCCCGCTATTCGAAATAGTTGTGCCACCAAACACCAGAGGCGCTGATGGCGAAAATGAAACAAGAGGTGAAACATGTGCGTTGGCCATCTAGGAGAGTGTAGTTTATCTATTCTCACACTTTTTATTTATGAATCTTTACTCGAAATCCATAATACTAAAACTATACGGTTCAATCCGAATCACACCCTTATTCCTCTCGCAATGGCAACTTGATTATAATACCTAAGCTCAGGTTACAGATGTCAAAAAGGAACTATGTGAATCTGCACCCCTACAATAAGATACCTTCTAAGGTGCTGAACTGCTTTTATACGATCAAAGAGTATCTTGATCTGAGCATGAATGAACACGAACTTCTGTGATAGACACTACCATAGTTATACTTTTTATACTATTTGTGTAGTTTTGTAGTTTGGTGATTATATACACTTCTGTTTTGTGAAGTACTATTTTATCTGACGATCAACTAATTCAATGTTATTAGTATGAAAATAAATATTTATTTATCAATCTATCTTTCTATCTATCTAGAGACCGTGATAGAGCCATTGTTAAATGACTCAAAAATCTGATTTTCCTCGTCAACATAGTGTTATTGCTTTAATGAATAAGACATAAAAGATACCAATTTGAGTGATTATGGGATTTTTCACCAAGAAAATAAATATAAAGATCAGAGATATATCTTCGAAACAAACCAATGAGAAGAAGTATCTTGGGATTGAGTTTGATGATAGTTTGAAGTGGGACGAACATATAAGGAATTGACGAAAAAAATATATCCTACTATTGAAGCCCTGAGAAGATCTCCCAAACAAGATAATAGTTATTTCTACACCAAGGTAGTAAAAAATATCATTATTACCCAGGGACCAAGATTATATCCCGAGGCTTCAGCCGAGCCATACCATACACCAAACCAAATAATCAATTACCTATATAAGATATCTGAAACATTCTCTTTAGGATAAATGTTCAGAAAGTATAAAAAAAATAGGACAAATAAGCTTCACCCACGTTGCTTTATTTGAATATAATGAATTACCTGATAATTTAATATAAAAAATTGCAGAACTATCATCAAATCCAATAAATATAAACTGAAAAAAAAACTAATCATTTCTGAAAGGAATAGAGAAATGATTTTCTTTCCAACTTGTAATACTTGCCTATAAGAAATTATTTTTGTTAATCAATTTAAAATATTATATCAATAATGAATTTGTTATGATTACATAGTTATTATTGTTAACTACTTCCTAATAGCAGAACTGGTTTCTGCCTGGAACTTATATTTTCGAAGAATAAATGAAAATAATAAGTGAGATATTGGCCTAGAACCGATGGAGTTACACTAATCAAAGAGTTATTTCTGAATAAAAAATTGATCATTTTCAAATGATGATCACTGATGACTCACTCTCTGATTTTTCTCATAGCCTCCTCAATCTGTGATGAAATTTCCAACACCCCAGCTCTCCTACTAGCTGGGTTGCTTAAAGATTTCCTGAGAAGTTTACCAGAACCATTGCTGACCGGAAACGTTCAGGACTGGCTGAATGGAATCAACACAGGCAGGATTGATAACTTGAAGAAGCTCATCATGCAATTGCCGATGGAGAATCATTTGTTGCTCGCTCACGTGGTGTGTGTGTTGCAGAATATTGCCAAAAAGTCGAGGTTCAATCTCATGTCCGCAGCGAATCTAGGTAAGAAAATCAAAACACTAACAAAGAATCGATTTTATCGTCTATAAGTGATGTTAAAAAACTATTTATATGATTTGAGGTAGAAGGGGCCCGAGAACTGTGCCTTGTGGAACTCCAAAATCAATGTTCTTATATCTGCTCTGTTTCTTTGCAGGAATTTGTGTTGGACCAAGTTTGCTATGGGATTCGTCGCAAAATGCACCCCTACGAACTCTACCAGTCCTAATAGAAACATTAATCAAGAATTGTGAGGCTCTTTTCGGATCGCAAGTAGTATCTTTGATGGGAGAAATCGGAAGTGATAGTGGAGCAGAAGAGTCTGAAAGCATACATTGTGAGTACCCCCTCAACATTAACAAGGAAATCATTTGCAAATGTGTAGTCTTTCAGTTGTTATGTTAGACTTCTGACAATTGAATCGAAGATATATTTCCTCAAGAGACATATTTCCCATGAAAGAAACAATTGAATGTCACTTCAAGAATTTTGAGTGGAATGCAACTCGATATAGCGAAAAATTCCATTTCCTATGCAAATGTAAAAAAAACTGCACTTTTTCAATACATTTTGTGTACTCAAAGTGTACAATTTTTCAGTATCAAAATACTCCGTTCCATTATTTTACGGAAAAGTGTGAAAAAAGTTTACTTATATATAGGGTGTTCAAGGGAAAGATTTCATTTTTGAATGTCTCGATAACTTTGTAGGTTTCGATAGCATGAACATGTGAGTTTGTAGTTTAAGGTTTTATGACGTGTGAAATGCGAATTTACAGACAATTTATTTCTTGATTGCTCTTACAGGGCTTTGGTGGCACTCTGTCATTATATATCACACTTTGTCATTATATATCATATCTTTCAAATTCAAAGTAAATAATAATTGACCAAAGGTATGAAATAAAAATGTATAACTTATTTTTTGATTGCTCTCAAAGGGAGCTGGTGGCACTCTGTCACTTCGTTAAATTACATCATAACTTTCAAATTCAAAGTAAATGATGGAGCACTTGAGCACTACTAATTTTTTTTTTCTCGAACACCCAGTATCTGCAACATTTTTATAAGTCTGAATCTATATATTTTGGTGACTCCGGGCGACATATTGGCATAGGAACGATCAAAATATAAATTAATAATAATAATGGATGATGAGATTGTGATAAGATCTTCATTTTGAAGGTTAACTTCATACATTGTCGTGACTTGGTAGGGCTGATTCACTCGTATTTTTGCAACGGCTATATCGTTGGACCGTTAATATCTATCAGAACATGACTACCCATTCCTTAAACTGTGAGATGACTAATTACTCGTATTTAGTATCTACACTCATGAAGTCACTATCGGTGAGATGTAGACGGATCGAAACGGAGAAGAGAATATTTCAAACTAATATATATTTCGATAATGATATTTCAACCAATACTTTGACGTTCTGAGAGAAATAATTCATCATATAATTTCATCCGGATAATCATTGATAATTCTAGGAAAGTATACCAGTATGTCTGAAAAAGTTGGTAACCATCAATAGAAAACTTGTTTATTATTAGTTTCAGAAAAACGTCATTTGTCATAAAAAGTTCTGCAATGCCTAAAACCAAGAACACGAATATCAGATATCGGATTTTTTCAGTCGTATACGGGATATATGTCAAAAATATACATTTTTCTCAAGAGTAAAGTACCTTTATTTTCGACAATATTGAAAATGCTCATATGGAATAGTTGACTAGAGTTGAAAACCAGCACGTTCAAATATCTGATAACCTCTACCTTCGATGAAAATCATGTTTCGTTATTTCTTACAATAATTTCTGATCGATTCATATGGAAAACTTTTCATTATTAATTTTACGGAAAAATCGAGGAGAAAAGCATTTTTTATAAAAAGTTCTGCAAGGTCAAAAACCAAAATGCAGACATCAGATATCTTTTCTTTAGTCATATATGTCAAAAAATCTCAAAGAATTTGTAAAAAATAATAAAACCTGATTCTCATCGTAGACAATGAATATTATTAGATATTTGAACGTAGTTTTTGATTCTAGTCATGTTTGTTCGACAATGATTTTCTATAGGTATTGCAGAAAACGAAGGTACTCTATTCTTGAGCGAAATTGATGTTTTTCTGAAACATATAGGCACGGTCGAATGCCCAGCATTAGCATTCTCAAAGATTGAATAAACAAAGTTGTTGTCTTTCCCGGTAACATCAAAGTCAATGAAACGATGAAGGCCCAATACGTATCTGCTCCACTGGCAAAGTAACTAAAAGAATATGAAAGGCCAACAGATTTTTGCCGTTGAAGTCATTTCCCCAGCAAACAAAGCATCCCACTAAGCAAAGTTGAAAGCTATATTGATGCAATGTTGAAGCAATCACAAAAATGGATGTTTAGCAATATTGCAAAGGTGAAGTTTGATAATGTAGCGTTGCAGCAATATTACAAGTTGCTGTGACATTGCTGGAACGTTACATTTACAAATTTACATTTGCAATATTGCTGAACGTCCGTTTCAGTAATTGCAACAACCTTGCATTAACATAGCTTCCAGATTTACTTGGTGGGATAGGGATAGGGCTTGTTGGGATGTGTAGGTGAACTCATCAAGACCCAATAACCAACCTTCTCAATTCCAGCTCTGGGTCTATCTTTAGACTCCGTCGAACTGAGCAAAGACCAGAAGTCCCTGAGCCGCGACTCAGGCCTGACCCTCTCCGAGGACGACAGGGAGAGTCCAGGGCCGAACTACCCCTTCCACCGATCCGATTGGGCCAGACAGGCGGCACGTGTACGATCGATCTGGCCCGAGGAAGAACAGGAGTACGAAAATGACAATTTTTGCGCTTCCGTGGATAGTTCAAGGTCGCCGCCCGTGCCACTCAGAGGCCCGCCCATTTTGGGGCGGGCGCCCACTATGGGCGGGTTCGCCCCGCCCAGATATAGACCGCCCCCGCCAGCGTACGCGTCTGCGCGGATGATGATCGTGTGTGACGATGAGAATGAGAGTTATGTTTGATGGGATATGTTTGAGGCGTGTTCCTTGATGACTTATATTTGTACGTTTTCTGTACCATAACTCTTCCCTCGGAATTTTAGCCGATTTGAGGTTTTGATAAAACTTTTCCATTTAGCAACATGAATGACGTTCGACATCCCAGATAGCACAAATACATCTTATGGATATACTATGGATATCCATCATGGATATTGTAGATGTCCATAAGATATCCGAAAAAGGTTCTGGTATATCCTATGGACGTCCATGGGATGTGACAGTGTGACCTTTTTGGATGTCTTCAAGATATTCATTATGGATATCCATAAGATATCAACTATGGATATGGATAAGAGATAGTATACCCTATACAGGGTGATTCACATAAGAACCGACATAAAGCAGGGGCATGTAGGGGGTCCCAAAATATGGCAATTTAACGCAACTTACCTCTATACCAAGTTGCTTCCCTAAGGAGTTATAGGCTTCGAAAGTGAAGTTATGAATTTTGAAAAAATACAATATCTCCGCTGTTATTGAACTTAAAGCAACCAAATTTGGTACACTTTATGGAGGTATTTAGGGCGTTACTTGACAGTAACTAGAGTTTATTTGAAATATTTAAAGGGGGTATACCGGGTGGCGCACCATTAATATTCAACAGAATTTTGTTAACCCTCGATGGATTATAAAAATCTTTGCTTTGTTTTGTGGACAATTCAATTCTTAAACTTTTCTTAGTCTACTAATTTCTCGAAAAACCTCATCATTTTCATCAAAAAGTCGAATAACTGAAAACGCGTGCTCTAAGTGTGTAATTTAAAATCATCGAAAATTCAAAAGTTGGCTATGAAAATAAACGTCAAACTTGAAGCAAGTAAGTTGTTCAATTAAGTAATTTATCGATAAACAATTGTTTGTTCTGGTTTTTGTTAAAGTTTTTTGTGTTTATTTTGGTTAGTTGATAATCCCAGTTTTTCACTTCACGTATTTTGTTACGTATCTAAATAATAATTTGCCAGCCAATTTCTACTGATCACAATTAATGACCTACTTTCTTGTTGTACGTTTATTTTCATAGCCAACTTTCGAATTTTCGATGATTTCAAATATCACACCTAGAGCGCGCGTTTTCAGTTATTCGAGTTTTTGATGAAAATGATAAGGTTTTTATTACTAGAGTAAGAAAAGTTTTAGAATTGAATTGCCCACACAACAAAGCAAAGATTTTTGAAATCCATCAAGGGTTAACAAAATTCTGTTGAATATTAATGGTGCGCCACCCGGTATACCCCCTTTACAAATTTCAATTGAGCTCTAGTTACTGTCAAGTAACGCCCTAAATACATCCACAAAGTGTACCAAATTTGGTTGCTTTAAGTTCAAGAATAACGGAGATATTGATTTTTTTCAAAATTTATAACTTCACTTTCAAAGCCTATAACTCCTTAGGGAAGCACCTTGGTATAAAGGTAAGTTGCGTTAAATTGTCATATTTTGGGACCCCCTACATGCCCCTGCTCTATGTCGGTTCTAAGGTGAATCACCCTGTATATAGAAAAAAATCACAAAAATTGGGAAGCACTCACGTCTTACTGCGTTCGAATAATGTAGTTGTCAGTTCTTATGCATCATCAATTTTGGACGAATTCGTAGGAATCACTTCCAAATTTACTTCAAATAAAATTAAATATGAGAACAGATTGACATTATTTGACTATTCCAAGGTTGGTAGAATCGTTGATCTATAAATAATCATCAGTTCTACCAATCTTGGACTATTTGAGACGTTACGCCACCTCGTGTGCTGTTTTTGAAAACCGAAATAATAATAATAACAGATAGTCTTTTTTTTCGAAGTTTTTTCACTGTTTTTACTGTGTTAGGGTAAAATTCTGACACTGGACCTGTCAATACGGCTTAAACTATACGTGGTGGAAGAAAAATTTTGAATATGGAAATACTTTTGACACGTACAAAGCCAACAAACGCTAACCGGTATTCTGCCGAGTCTAAAACAAGAATTTGAAAAGAGAGGTTGTAAGTAGGGGTCAAAAAAAGTATAATCAGTATATAGGTACTACTGACTCTTTAGTTTTCTTGGTAGAATTTTACCTCGTTATTGTTTGTTTTCAATATCTATTGAAGGATATATCAAAAGAAATTTCAATCACTCGCGGTAACTATATATTGGAACTTGGGATTTGTTGGTTCCAATTGTGTTTATGAATACCTACTCCAATTTTTCAGGTGCCAGAAGTAGATTCTGAACTCATTTGAAACGAAAAATGGAGAAATATCAAGCAGGCTGAATGTTACGAGATAGGAAGTAACTATTTATTGACTTACGATTAGAAATTATTTCCTTATTTTTTTCTGGACTAGATGCCAAATTCATTGAATGGTTAATTCTTTGGAACTTTGAAAAATTCACTTCTGGGCTCGAATATAAAGGGGAAAAATGAAAAAACGTGCAATTGTGTAAATATTTGTCGGAACATTTAGTATATATTTAAGTCATTGCCATAAAATTTGATTCGATATGAATCGGAATGTTTTCACAATACGAAAGTTTGTTGATTGTTATTTTATAACTTTTTTGTAAAAAGTAATAAGTTGAGCATAAACCATAGTTTGATCATGATTGATATTTTTTATAGAGAACATGGTGATTTTGGAATTCTGTTTATATTTAAACCACATTATCTCGAAATCACCATGTAGTTATTTTTCTATGTGTATGAATCTAAATAATGTTAAGTGAGTTTGTACAGATTTATCATTTGTAAAATAATAAAATATCAAATTATTTTGTCAGATATTTTTACCCTTCCACAGAATCTACGGTAACTTACCAGAAAATATTTAAAATAGACAGTATGAAGAGAAGATGAACACTAAACATTGTCATCTATTGACTCTCATTAGTAAGAACTAGTTTAAATGCCCCTAACAAGGTGTTTGCCAGAACTTCACCAGAAAAAAATTAACTATTAGCGTATTCGACTGGATTGTACTTACACGGTATATATGCGTATTTAGCACTGAACTGACTTCGGTTCGGACAGAATTCGTTCAGTTCGAAACCATTTAGGCCCTGTATTAATTGATGAAGTTCAATATACAGGGTGAGTCGGGAGGAACGCACCAAACTCCAGGTGTGTTTTGTACACGTAAAAATAATTTGAAAAAAACAAAAACATATGTTCTGATACTATTCTCATTTGTTTTCATTTTAAATTTGAATAGATTTGTGGCATTTTATAAGACTTTAATTGTACAAACTCGATGACATCCAAAAATGGAAGGTATGGTTTACATTAGTATAGTTATTGATCGCACCTCGTATATTTCCGGTGCTGGCGTTGCTCGTATCAGCTGGCACTGACGCATGCGTTTCATAGCAGGACTACCTGACGGTGTGCTGTTGCCAGACCTCTGATATTTACCGAAACCTACTATAACGATAAGGATCGCTCAAAGTATTCTCATCAAACGTCAGATTGTTATCATTAAGTAGTCTAGGGACATGTTCCTGATAACATTACATTCAATTTATTGAGGTAATTAATCAATAATGACTATTTCACTACATTTTGAGATGACATATACAGGGTGTCAATTTGAAAACTTCCCACCCTCAATATCTCCCTCCAAGTCGATAATATGGAAAAACGAAAAGACAGGTCGATTTTATTTTCGAGGGGGACATGGTTCTAAAATATTTTCAGCCCCGCGGCGTTGCCGCTTCTAACGAAAAGAAGCAACAACTTTGTTATTTCAAATGGAACACCCTGTATTTTATTGCATTTTTAGATTCTCACTGAAAAGCTGATTTCATCAATGTATCACACTTGGGGTCTAGCAGGAATGATTACAGAGATATAGGGTGTTCAAAATCGAGATTTTACAACTTTAGGATTTTTTTGAGTCGAAACTATTCATTATTGGTCAAAACGGCTTTCATGTCCCTATCACAACTTTTGATTTACTATCTACTGACATTTATTTGAAACAAATACAGGGTGGTTCAAGATTCAGACTTTTGATCACCCTGTATTTGTTTCAAATAAATGTCAGTAGATAGTGAATCAAAAGTTGAGATAGGGACATATAAGCCGTTTTGACCAATAATGAATAGTTTCGACTCAAAAAAATCCTAAAGTTGTAAAATCTCGATTTTGAACACCCTATATCTCTGTAATCATTCCTGCTAGACCCCAAGTGAGATACATTGATGAAATCAGCTTTTCAGGGAGAATCTAAAAATGCAATAAAATACAGGGTGTTCCATTTGAAATAATAAAGTTGTTGCTTCTTTTCGTTAGAAGCGCAACGCCGCGGGGCTGAAAATATTTTAGAACCATGTCCCCCTCGAAAATAAAATCGACCTGTCTTTTCGTTTTTCCATATTATCGACTTGGAGGGAGATATTAAGGGTGGAAAGTTTTCAAATTGACACCCTGTATATGGAATTAAATCTACCTACTTAGGAATATATCTGACTTAGGTAACAGATTTTTCGATGTTCATGAATTTGCCATAATTAGAGATACAAACTATTCAATTGATTTAGAATGAAGGTAAGCAAGTAGTTGCTTTACGAAATCGTTCTTGGATCGAGATATTAGTCAGTTAATTGTTTCTGCGAAAGAGAAATATGCCCTATGAAGAGTTATATTTCTTATTTGGTGAAAAAAAAATTACTGATTACCCCTAGGAGATAATAAACTAATTTATTCTCTCTCATTTAAAGAAATCATTTTCAAATCACTTATCGATGTACCTACATCAGCATCCCAACAAACACAGTTACAAGATATATAACAGCGATGTAACAATTATGACCTGCAATATCGCATTCTATGTCGCATAGACTTCGTTGCGATGCCAGAGGGATGTTATCTTGTTCCATTCAAGTTTCATCCATGCGACGTCGCTGCGATTGTTTGCATTGTAATGGCGATATGTTATTTGTGATGGAATAGCGATGTCTGTTTTTGCGATAAAACTACGATGTGATGTAGTACTCGTATTTGTATAAAAAATTATGTAGTGTGTTGGCAAGATGCAAGCACACCACGAATAGTTTAATAGCGATGTAAACGAATGTTTGCGAATTTATCTTCACTTTGATGAGTATAACGTATATTCATGTAGGTATTCATTTTCATCCAACAAAGAATTATGATAACAACGTTTTAACACATTCTCTGAGATTCGAAGTTCACATGTGTACATCATAGCTCATGACGACATCTCATATCTCATCAATGTGTTTGTTTCTGTAAATCGCAGCGATGTATTATTCGTAATATCGCAGATGTGTTTGCTTATGAATATCGCAGCGATGAACCCAGACAGCACCAGATATTCCATGAATCTCCCTATCATATTCCTTTTGGGATATTGGAATATTCTAGAAATAATCTGGAATATTCCGGAATATCTGTGGAATATTCTCTAAATATGCGAATGGGAATTCCTCAGATAATCATAGAATATACCCAAAAGAATATTCTATGTTGAATGTTCCTGGAATATTCCAATAAACATATTTTAAAATAAAAAAAAGTGACCCAAGTAGGGATCGAACTCGTGACCTCGAGACTATCAGAGCAACGCCTTGACCACTAGGCCAGTAATCGAATTGAATAATGTTATACAAATCAAGTTCTTGTGAGAGCATTGTTCGAAATCGGATCATAAACACTTTTTGTTTCAAAATTCCCTTATATCTAATTGATGTTCGATACTCACATCTCTGAAATGATAAATGGTATTTATGTGTTGAGGAACATAGGAATATTCATGGAATATCTCATGAATATACACCACAGAATATTCAGTTGAGAATATTTCATGAATATACCGCACAGAATATTCAGTTGGGTATATTTCATGAATATACCGCACAGAATATTCAGTTGGGTATATTTCATGAATATACAAAAAAGAATATTCAGTTGAGAATATTCCTGGAAGATTCATACCTGAATATTCCCTGAACATCACTTTGGAATATTCCTTTCAGATGTTCCAGAGGCATGTATATATTCTAGGAATAATCGATGAATATTCGGAATATACTCCTCCTTTTTAGCATATTTAGAGAATATTCTATGAATATCCAGTGCTGTCTGGGAAACGTTTGTGATATCGCACACTTATAGTTATTCATGAGTGCAGATAAGTCTAAAATTTCGACTGAAGTTCAGTGTTGATGAGTGTAAGAGATTTATAACTGCTGGATATAAGTCTTTCTGTTTTATTTATGATGAAACTTCCAAAATAAATGAGGGAACGAAAACGAGCATATATAGGCATTCAGTATCCAATCAACAGCCCAGATACAAAAACGAAAACATAATGTTTAAGAATATCAACATAAATATTCAGTTCAGTTCAAAAACGTGTATTTTGAAATCAGTGGAATTCGGAATTTCATGCTGGAGCTCTGACAACACTGCTGTAGACCTTCCTGTGATTTTGCCCAGCGTTGCCGTCTTAGCGGTTTTGTCGCTAAATCTAGAGTTTTTAGGGTAGGTGAGGTGAATAGCGGTTTATATGAAGATATTTTGATCTTATGAAATGAATAATTTACATTGATACATACGAGACGAAGAGATAAGTAGATAGGAGAATGACAGATGACAGGGTTTGTTTTCATCATTTGCGGCACTTCAGTGCCATATATTCGATATTTTGCCTATATAAATCAGTATTACAACTTATAGGAACTAGGGTCCCTTGATGTAAATTGTCGTATTTGTCATCTCAATAGGGTACGGACAGATCCTTGTCTCCTCTCACTCTAAAGTGTTTGTGAAACAGTTATATTGTTCCATCTTTATTCATTTCTGGGGATAAACACTAGATTCCTGACATTTGTTGTTTTTTAGGTTATATTGAGGACATTGGCGTATCATACGTAATTTCCACATGTACTTTCTCATTCAACTCTACATATTATATCCAAATGATGATGATACTTTTCGAGTTTTTGATTCTTCAACTCCAGCATAAAATCTTATTCGTGAGGCAGCGAGTGAGCAAATTTTTCTGAAAGTTTAATACGTTTTACCAAATGGGACTGTTCTTAGGCAGTACCTATCAATAAATGAATTTTGATTTCAGACTGATCGAGCATTATGGTTGAGAAATGGTGAAATGTAGGTATTTAAACTAATGTGCTCATATGTCATGTGTGCTGTATATATTTTTTGTGAATCATTTTTGCAGTTTTTCACGAACATTCAATATTTCCAGAATGTAGGTATAATTTTTTAGATGGTATATTCCTCTTCTTGTAATCCTCCGTTTTAATCAAAACTGTTTCTACTAAAACGTATTCAAAAACTTGTGGAGTGGATAATTATAGGCACAATGAGAACGTATAATATATGTGATTTCGTATTAGTTTTATCTCGAATATTTTGCTGATGTATTCACCAATTTTCCCCATTAGGTCACTTGACTTTCCATGTTCTAAGTTCACTTGCATTTGAAGGAAAGCTGACAAATTAAAATTTGCCATCCAACTGATCGATACAGCCTAACGCAACACATTATACCATCCTTCCAAAACAGAATTGAATAATGTCGTATTCAGATCAAGTATGAAATTAAAATTTTTCAAGATCTCTTTCAACGCCTATGGATGTGACGTGATAGCAATGTCATGTCAGGGACGCCAAACCACGAAACCAAAGTCACTAGATGATTGAAAGAGAAAGAAGCTATGATCTGTCCGTACCCTCTGTTAGATGACAAATAAGTCAGTTTACACTGGTTTACAACCAATGTGACTCAGATGGTTTGACAGGTTCCTCAATGTGTGATTATTAGATCACCGAACTCATAATAATATTTATATATTACTTAATATAGATCAAAAACATATAGGTACTTACCTAAAATACGATCGAGAAATATATGTTGTGATTTTTACTAATGTATCTACCTCTAATAGTACCGATAGAACTGAACATGTTCTGAATTAATGAAGTTTTCATCGATTTTTCTTCTTTTGAAAACTAACTGAAAACTAACTGAAAATGAGGAAATATCATAAAAAATGTCGCTAAATTTTCTACTCGCTTCGCTCGCTGTGCCGACTTCTAGTAGATTGTTCCTAACTTTTTGCGACATTTTATGTTCGGCAGCTGGCAACACTGTAAACACTGATTCTGCCTCTGTTTTCTTTGTATACATTAGTGATTAGTGCATTGCATATTGCATTCCTTTCTTTCATAGCATGCAAACAACGAAGAAAACCGCTCAAGTACACAGTGAACCCAATTTAGTGTTGTGAAAATGCCGGGTACGATTTTAGAAAACCTGAGTGGCAGAAAACTCAGCGTTTTGGTCACTTTATTGCTAGCATGCCAGATAGTTTGCTTTTTGGTGGGTCTTATTGCGCCAAGCCCTGCCAGAACTCAAGGAATGTTGTCCACTATCTGCGTCGATGAAAATCCCGAGAATGATAACATCAACCGATGGTTCACCAAGAAATGCCCAAAAGTGATCGTTCTTTCCAACAAGAAATCCATTACCGGTTTACAAGCTAATAATTTGGTAAGATATACTTATTTATTGGTTAATTTTGCACCTCGTTTTGCACTTGAGATGGGTTGTTTTTCGATTAAAATTCTTGTTACCTACGTATTTCTGTCTGCAAAACACGAATTCCATAATGAAAATGTGAACAAAACCACTGTTTTCGGGATATTTCAAGAAAAAGTTCGAAATGTCGACTTCTTTTTCCACCTGTCTTGGATGAATTTACAGCTACCTAATACCCAGCGAGCACAAAAACATCTCAGAGATGTTAAAAGTACCTACGAGATTTCGAGACATTGAACTTCCACTGAGATGTTCTGTTCACACATGAATAGAACTATTATAGAACAGCCAATGTCCGCCGCAGGCGGCAATTATCGAGATGTCCTTGATATGTCACAAAACTACCTTCTCCCTAGTTCTTTTCAAAGCCTTTTCATGGACACAACAAAACATTTTCAACGCGTCTTGCGCACATTAAATCGCTGTAAAAAAACCATTTTCGAGGTACTTTTCTGAAGCCTTTTGTCAAAATGAACTTCTGCAGTAGGATTCCATTTCCCTTGAATGAAAAAATGCATTAAAAATAGATTGAACATAAAAATATTTTCTTGATATGAAATTACCTTCTTTATCGGTTTCTGATGAGTAGTGCTTACTACACACAGACATATAAGTGGAAATAGGTTTCCCAATTTTTGAAATGTTCTCCACAATGCATAATTTTGCAACTGCGGAGAACTCGGCGGAGAAGCTGTGTATTGATAAATTCGTACTTTTATATATCGATCACACTGAGGCACCGAACAACACATCTTGCATCTGATGGTCATTATTACAAACTAAATAAGTCTTCTAACACAATAAACTTCACCTAATTCCTTTCTGTTCGTTAGCAGCGTGATGTAAGCGTGACACGCTGCAAACGCGAATGCCAATTGCGAACAAGAAGAACAATATCGAAAACAAATCAAAATCCATCGTATTGTGACGTAAGCATGAGACGTTGTGGTGGGGCAAACAAAGAAAGGGCACAAAAGAGCAAACACAATACTTTCAATATCCTTCTAAGACATCTTTGGGAAGTGCATATTACGCCTCAAAAAAACATCCCGCATGCCTACATTTCTAAAACATCCCAAAACATCCCAGGGATACCTCTCAGTAGGCAAACAAAGAAATGCCACAGAAGAACAAAAACAATACTTCAATATCCTTCAAAGACCTCTTTGGTCAGTGCATATATCAAAAATCGCCAATATTCCTGAAAGTTGCAAGAATCGCAAAAATTCCTGAAAATTGCAAAAATTCGCAAAAATGACTGAAAATTGCAAAAATCGCAAAATTCCTGAAAATAGCAAAAATCGCAAAAATTCCTGAAAATTGCAAAAATCGCAAAAATGCCTGGAAATTGCAAAAATCGCAAAAATTCCTGAAAATTGCAGAAATCGCATAAAATGCCTGAAAATTAGAAAAATTTCTGAAAATCGCAAAAATTCCTTAAAATTGCAAAAATCGCAAAAATTCCTGAAAATTGCAAAAATTTCTGAAATTTGCAAAAATTGCAGAAATTGCAAAAATTCCTGAAAATTGCAAAAATCGCAAAAATGACTGAAAATTGCAAAAATCGCAAAAATTCCTGAAAATTGCAAAATTCGCAAAAATGACTGAAAATTGCAAAAATCGCAAAAATTCCTGAAAATTGCAAAAATCGCAAAAATTCCTGAAAATTGCAGAAATCGCAAAAATTCCTGAAAATTGCAAAATTCGCAAAAAATGACTGAAAATTGCAAAAATCGCAAAAATTCCTGAAAATTGCAAGAATCGCAAAAATTCCTGAAAATTGCAAAAATCGCAAAAATTCCTGAAAATTGCAAAAATTTCAAAAATTCCTGAAAATTGCAAAAATTGCAGAAATTGCAAAAATTCCTGAAAATTGCAAAAATCGCAAAAATTCCTGAAAATTGCAAAAATCGCAAAAATTCTTGAAAATTGCAAAAATCACAAAAATTCTTGAATATTGCAGAAATCGCAAAAATGGCTAAAAATTGCAAAAATTGCAGAAATTGCAAAAATGCCTGAAAATTGCAAAAATCGCAAAAATTCTTGAAAATTGCAAAAATCGCAAAAATTCCTGAAAATTGCAAAAATCGCAAAAATGCCTGAAAATTGCAAAAATCGCAAAAATTCTTGAAAATTGCAAAAATCGCAAAAATTCCTGAAAATTGCGAAAATTGCAAAAATTCCTGAAAATTAGAAAAATTTCTGAAAATTGCAAACATTCCTGAAAATTGCAAAAATTGCAAAAATTGCAAAAATTGCAGAAATTCCTGAAAATTGCAAGAATTGCAGAAATTGCAAAAATGACTGAAAATTGCAGAAATCGCAAAAATTCCTGAAAATTGCAAAAATTCCTGAAAATTGCAAAAATTGCAGAAATTGCAAAAATTCCTGAAAATTGCAAAAATCGCAAAAATGACTGAAAATTGCAAAAATCGCAAAAATTCCTGAAAATTGCAAAAATCGCAAAAATTCCTGAAAATTGCAAAATTCGCAAAAATGACTGAAAATTGCAAAAATCGCAAAAATTCCTGAAAATTGCAAAAATCGACAATATTCCTGAAAATTGCAAAAATCGCAAAAATGCCTGAAAATTGCAAGAATCGCAAAAATTCCTGAAAATTGCAAAGATGCCTGAAAATTGCAAAAATCGCAAAAATGCCTGAAAATTGCAAAAATCGCAAAAATTCCTGAAAATAGCAAAAATCGCAAAAATTGCTGAAAATTGCAAAAATCGCAAAAACTCCTGAAAATTGCAAAAATCGCAAAAATGCCTGAAAATTGCGAAAATCGCAAAAATTCCTGAAAATTGCAAAAATCGCAAAAATTCCTGAAAATTGCAAAAATGCCTGAAAATTGCAGAAATCGCGAAAATTCCTGAAAATTCTCGTGAAAATTGCAAAAATTGCAAAAATGACTGAAAATTGCAAAAATCGCAAAAATTCCTGAAAATTGCAAAATTCGCAAAAATGACTGAAAATTGCAAAAATCGCAAAAATTCCTGAAAATTGCAAAAATCGACAATATTCCTGAAAATTGCAAAAATCGCAAAAATGCCTGAAAATTGCAAGAATCGCAAAAATTCCTGAAAATTGCAAAGATGCCTGAAAATTGCAAAAATCGCAAAAATGCCTGAAAATTGCAAAAATCGCAAAAATTCCTGAAAATAGCAAAAATCGCAAAAATTGCTGAAAATTGCAAAAATCGCAAAAACTCCTGAAAATTGCAAAAATCGCAAAAATGCCTGAAAATTGCGAAAATCGCAAAAATTCCTGAAAATTGCAAAAATTGCAAAAATTCCTGAAAATTGCAAAAATGCCTGAAAATTGCAGAAATCGCGAAAATTCCTGAAAATTGCAAAAATTGCAAAAATGACTGAAAATTGCAAAAATCGCAAAAATTCCTGAAAATTGCAAAATTCGCAAAAATGACTGAAAATTGCAAAAATCGCAAAAATTCCTGAAAATAGCAAAAATCGCAAAAATTTCTGAAAATAGCAAAAATCGCAAAAATTCCTGAAAATTGCAAAAATCGCAAAAATTCCTGAAAATTGCAAAAATCGCAAAAATGCCTGAAAATTGCGAAAATCGCAAAAATTCCTGAAAATTGCGAAAATCGCAAAAATTCCTGAAAATTGCAAAAATTGCAAAAATGCCTGAAAATTGCAAAAATGGCAAAAATGCCTGAAAATTGCAGAAATCGCAAAAATTCCTGAAAATTGCAAAAATCGCAAAAATGACTGAAAATTGCAAAAATCGCAAAAATGCCTGAAAATTGCAAAAATCGCAAATATTCCTGAAAATTGCATAAATCGTAAAAATGACTAAAAATTGCAAAAATCGCAAAAATTCCTGAAAATTGCAAAAATCGCAAAAATTCCTGAAAATTGCAAAAATCGCAAAAATTCCTGAAAATTGCAAGAATCGCAAAAATTCTTGAAAATTGCAGAAATCGCAAAAATGACTAAAAATTGCAAAAATAGCAGAAATTGCAAAAATGGCAAAAATGCCTGAAAATTGCAAAAATCGCAAAAATTCTTGAAAATTGCAAAAATCGCAAAAATTCCTGAAAATTGCGAAAATTGCAAACATTCCTGAAAATTGCAAGAATTGCAAAAACTCCTGAAAATTGCAAGAATTGCAGAAATTGCAAAAATGCCTGAAGATTGCAAAAATCGCAAAAATGCCTGAAAATTGCAAAAGTCGCAAAAATTCATGAAAATTGCAAAAATCGCAAAAAATGACTAAAAATTGCAAAAATCGCAAAAATTCCTGAAAATTGCAAAAATCGCAAAAATTCCTGAGAATTGCAAAAATCGCAAAAATTCCTGAAAATTGCAAAAATCGCAAAAATTTTTGAAAATTGCAGAAATTGCAAAAATGACTGAAAATTGCAGAAATTGCAAAAATGCCTGAAAAATGCAAAAATCGCAAAAATGCCTGAAAATTGCAAAAATCGCAAAAATTTCTGAAAATTGCAAACATTGCAAAAATTCCTGAAAATTAGAAAAATTTCTGAAAATTGCAAACATTCCTGAAAATTAGAAAAATTTCTGAAAATTGCAAAAATTCCTGAAAATTGCAAAAATCGCAAAAATGTCTGAAAATTGCAAAAATCGCAAAAATTCCTGAAAATTGCAAAAATCGAAAAAATTCCTGAAAATTGCAAAAATCGCAAAAATTCCTGAAAATTGCAAAATTCGCAAAAATGACTGAAAATTGCAAAAATCGCAAAAATTCCTGAAAATTGCAAAAATCGCAAAAATTCCTGAAAATTGCAAAAATCGCAAAAATGACTGAAAATTGCAAAAATTGCAAAAATTCCTGAAAATTGCAAAAATCGCAAAAATTCCTGAAAATTGCAAGAATCGCAAAAATGCCTGAAAATTGCAAAAATCGCAAAAATGCCTGAAAATTGCAAAAATCGCAAAAATTCCTGAAAATTGCCATAATCGCAAAAATTCCTGAAAATTGCAAAAATTGCAAAAATTCCTGAAAATTGCAAAAATTGCAGAAATTGCAAAAATTCCTTAAAATTGCAAAAATCGCGAAAATGCCTGAAAATTGCAAAAATTGCAAAAATTCCTGGAAATTTCAATTATTGCAAAAATTACAGAAAATTGTAAAAATTCCTAAAAAATTCCTGAAAGTTGCAAAAATCGCAAGAATGCCTGAAAATTGCAAAAATCGCAAGAATTCGTGACGACTGCTTCTCGAAATCATACTATAGTGCATCATTCAGAACTTCCTCAGAAAGTTCAAAGGATATCACTTAGATATTCTGGAACGTTATTTGCATTTACCTAAAGGTAAACATGATTCAATATACAGGGAGGTGCAAAACTTGTAACCCATGCTATAAAAAATCCCCAAGTTTTTTTTTGTCTCAAGATTGATGTATGTATACATACCAACTGATCATCCACCTTACGAGAGCTCCTTCAGCTCATGTGTGTGCTGTGTATGCTTTGTTATTAACTTCATACCCCACCTTAGGAGCAGCACTGTTGATTGAAACGCAACAGCGAATCAAGCGGAATCATCTCCGGCCGAGTATACGAAGATTAGAATTTACAAATAAAAATTCTCTGCTCTGCCAGAAATCGAATCTAGCAACCTTTCGGCGTTCTAATTGCTAGTCGAGCGCTCAATCACTGCGCTATTCTGCCATTTTGTATTTAAATATTATCATGGAAGTCATCAAATTCGGCCAACAAAAATAGGCAAGGCATCTGACTCATAAAATAGGTATGACAGAAATTCGGTAGTCAATCGGAGAATCGGATGTTATGATGATAATGATGATTATTAATGGAATATTCAAATTCGAAAGTTACCCGCGAATAAATTCCATACACACATATCATTACAATAAAGGTGTAGTAGCTCATTTGGAATATAAGTTCGATTTGTAACCAAGTGATAGCGGAGGACCAGAGTTCGAATCCCGTAGAGGTCGTCTTTTTTATACTGAATATATCGGCATGTACTGGCCCTAATGCCTGCCAGAGTCTCCCATTGGTACTGACCCATCAATGTTCACAGAAAGGTTGCCGTTCTGGCCAATTCTGGCCAGCAAAAGGCTGACCAAAATTGTTTGCTATGGAGTATCTTCCTTCATTTATAGTCTATATTTGATTCCAGGTATTCGCCGTCCAGATGCCACTATACGACTTGGACTTCTCCCGCTGGCAACAAAACCTAGTCGGCATCCTACAAATAGACATCGTCTACCAAACCGAGCAAAAAATAGTAGAACCCATCATCGAGCTAACCCTCGACGCTAGACTAGCCTACAGCGACAAAACCCCCGATGGGGGAACCACTCCTTGGCAATACTATGCTCATGCCGAAGAAAAACGCTACATGGAGTGCACTTTCGACAACACAGCTGTCATTGGGGAAGAACGAGAAGGTTACCCCTACAACTGCACCATGGTGCCTCTCTTCGAGCTTGGTTGCTTGTACCATGACTACTACCTCATGAACTTGCGCTTACCGTATTCTGAAAGCAAAAACACCAACTTAGGCAAAGTTGAGGACGTTTACTTGCACACTATTCACATGAACGGGGGGTTCACAAAGATCTGGGTCGGGTTGAAAACCTTCTTCTTCCCTTTGATCGTAGGCATCATGGTATGGTTCTGGAAACGGGTTCATCAGCTGAACCGCACTCCAGCTCTACTAGAGTACGTGCTTGTTTCCTTAGGCGGCACTCTTGCCTTCCTCAACTTGCCTATAGAGTACTTGAGCCTTACTTTTGAGATGCCCTACATGTTGCTCTTGAGCGATATCCGTCAAGGTATCTTCTACGCCATGTTGCTCTCTTTCTGGCTCATTTTTGCTGGAGAGCACATGCTTATCCAGGATCACGGGGAAAGGAACACCATAAAGATGTATTGGAAGCACTTGAGTACTATCGTGATTGGTTGCTTGTGCTTGCTGGTGTTTGATTTGTGTGAGCGAGGGATTCAACTGGTCAATCCCTTCTACTCTATCTGGGTGACGCCTATAGGCACCAACCTTGCTCTATCTTTCATCATTTTGGCAGGAATATCGGCGAGCTTGTACTTCTTCTTTCTTTGCTACATGATCTGGCGTGTTTTCAAGAATATAAGCGTCAGAAGGTCAATTCTCCCTAGTATGTCCCAAGCTAGACGCTTGCACTACGAAGGCATCATCTACAGATTCAACTTTCTCATGTTGGCGACTGTCATTTGCGCTGCTGTCACTGTCATTTCGTTTATTCTCTCGCAGGTGGCTGAGGGGCAGAACAAGTGGGATGAAAACATGGAGGTGGAGCTGACTTCGGCTATTCATACCGGGGTGTATGGTATGTGGAACGTTTATATTTGCGCTATGCTGATGCTTTATGCTCCTAGTCACAAGCAATGGCCTAATGAGCCTATTTGTGGAGAGGGGGAGGAAGTTGAGTTTAGTAGGTTGCCTGCTGATGCGAATGCCAGTGAAATTTCTTCGTTGACTACTTTTGCTGCCAAGGCTAACATCGAATAAGGGGGCGTATTTAGGAGGAACATCCTGTATATTCGTGAATATGTATATAAAGGGTGAGCCTTTTTTTTAGCTCCAGAGATTTTTAGAGTTACATTTGGGGTTGGGTAGCTTTGAAATTGAATCAATCAAATACAGAATCGATTTCCAAAAGGTATTGGATTGGATTCAATGGAAGAGATGTAAAAGCAGCTGTTTTTGTTACTATTATTGTTAAATATTGGTAACTGACCTGAACAAACGACTTCTACTGGAACATTGAGGCTTTACATAATATGGATTGCCATGGAAACTATTGGAATCGATTTTGAAATGGTAATATCTTTTGTATTTATTGAAAAAGGAGTCAAAAAATACGTAAAAGTTGATTCTAGCTATCAGGCCTAGGAACCTTTTGCTTTTGAATATAAAATTATCAGATGTCTATATAATTCATTTATCAGAAGGACAATCAACAGGCTATCATCATGTTGGAAATATATACAGGTTGTCTCCAAGCCTGATTATGAAACGTCGAATTTTCAAAATGAAATAGTACAGGGGAAAACATGTTTTCATGGTTAAAATATTTGTCTAAACCTTATTGTAAAAATTCAACAGAAAATAATATGGGAGAAATCATGTTTTTAAATAGTAAAATATTTTGATCATTTAATTTTTCTCAACTTGACTGAACTAACTTAAAGCAGAACATGATCAAGTATGTAACTTTTAAAATATTCTAACCTTAGAATTGTATAGCATTTTGACTTGAGAAATTCTCTATTTACTCGAAATCCGCTAATCATTTTCAGAAACATCTAGGTGACACCAAAATTCAATGAATTTTCACTAAATGTGAATGTTTACAATAAGATAGGTACTTAGCCAGTAAAGAGGATATAATAACTGCAAGAGTACTTACGAACTAGATTTTTTTTTAATGTAGCTAGAAGTATATCTGTGTATGCTATGATAATTTAGATGTACCTTCAAATGTATTTTGTTTGATGTGCATTGAACAGTATTATAATAGTTGTGATTTTATATTTTATACCCATATGATTTTGTATTTCATTATTTTTTATATTTTTCTTTTGAAATTGACTAATAAATACATTTTGATATTCATTGTTGACTAATCTGAATAGCATACAATTTTATAATTGAAGGTTGAGTGTCATCTGTCATTATAAAGAAGTGAGGTTAAACTGTACCTACAAGTATTCTGTGCTGATTTCAGAGGTTCTTTGGGACGGCGAAACGCACAGTACAGTACAATAACAATTATTTATAATAAAGTTTGCTGAAAAAAATTATACCTGCCGATAATTTAACAATGAATTAAAGAAAATACTCCAAGTCGGTCGACCACACTTTATATCAAAAAATACAATAGAAAGTGACCGGTTTCGGCAAAACGGCCATCATTAGAATTGATATAAGACCTGAAATGCATTATGAATGTTAAGGAACACATATATGGTGTCAGAATAAAACAAACCTGTTATGGTTCGGGAAAAACAAACAGTACCATCGAAATTACTATGAGGAACCTAAAAACTTTCGTGATGTGCTGGATTCAGTAACATATATATAGAAAAATCTTACTCTAATGCGATTGAACATTTCAAAAAAGGCATTTTGAAATTTTTTTATCAATCACATTTTGAAAAATAGCAGAATGTCAAATCTTTAATTAATGTTAATCAATTTCATTTATGAATACTGATGTAGGATCAGTTCGAGAATGAATGATTTTCATAATTGAACAAAGATTGACAGCTTGACATGACGTCCAAGCACACTAGTGCCATTTACTTTGAGTTTTCCAGATCTATTACTATAATAATAACAAAACTCTTCTGATATTCATTATATTCACAAATTGACAACATACAAATCATTACTAACATAATGGTTTTGTGGGTCTACAAGACCTGATAAAATCTACACATTAAGCGAGTTATACATTAAAAAATATACTTTCAGACGAATTTCAAGTCTAGGTGTAGCTCCCTAGATACTGTGGGTACCAAAAGCACAGGGTGCTCCCAAAGGTGAGAATGTATAGAATTCATTTAAATATACAAAACCACCAAATATCGCCTGAATAAAAATTGCATAATTCTATAATGTAGAATCTTGTTTGTCTAGCGCTAGCGCTATAGTTATCGGACCATCTTTCTCAAGCTATAACTGCAGCAGTACCTATCTCGTTTGTACAAAGATTTCAGTTGAAAAATCATCCAACAAAATTTTATCGGTAAATTTTTGAAATTCCTTGTATTGCAACTTTTATATGGACAATGTATAGTGATTTCATCTTTTTTGACGAGTTCTACATCCTCTGTTAAAAAACGACCACTTTTGAGAACACACGATGTTTGGATTTCTAGGGATTATTCGTGGAGAGCAGATGTGTCATTTTATTTATGTTAGAAAGTTTTTTTCTCTGTGATGAAGAAAACATTTTTCGAAAGCTCGACAAAAATAGGGAGACAAAAAACCGTGAGTTGAAATCTCTCTTGAAGCAATCAAATATATGTCGGTCTAATTCTGTAAGGATTTTCAAAAATGTCGAGCTTAGAGCTTAGTATGGTTGTTTAGTTATTGAGGTAACCGCGAAGTGGCCTGGAAGATATGAAGGACTTGCAGTTCTTTCTCGGAGACGGTCGCATAGGCTTATTTTTCGGAACTAGCAGTACAACAAAAGCCATCAACAGTGTATATATATATGTATGTATTTGAAAAAATAACTCAATTTTTTTCAGTGGAAAAATAGTTATTTATTATACAAGGGAAAAAAGTAGTAGATTTTAGCTCCAGGTTGTGTTGTCTCCCGACGCGTAGCGGAGGGAGACAACAAACCGTGAGCTAAAATCTAATATTTTTCCCGTGTATAATACACTATTTTTTTCTGTGACAGAAGAAAAGACGAATCAATATTGAGAAGATATTACATTATTTTGAAATCTGAAAATTATCGACGTGAAATTTTAAGTTTTTAACAGTAGGGACACCGCGTTGTAGGCATCTTTATCATTCATTTGAAGTAATCAAATATCTGATGTCACTTCTGTCAGTCTAATTTTGTGATTTCATTTCAAGAAATTGCGAATTCAGTGGTTATTTAGCAATATACGTAACCGCGAAGTCGAATGGAAGATAAAAGGACTTGCAGTTCTTTCTCGAAGACGGTATTATTGACTTATTTTTCGGAACTATAGCACAACAAGAGCCATCAACAGTGTATATATATGTGATATATATCCGGGAAAAAAGTAATTTATGAAAAGTGACATTTTATAACCTGCCAACAGGGATGAAATGCCAAACTTTTTTCCCGTCACAGAAAAAAAGTAATTTATGAAAAGTGACATTTCACAACATGTCAACAGGAATAAAATGTGAAAAAAAACGAATGAATCATACTGATTTGTCATATTCGACTGCTTCTCATGAATATTCCCTAGAATTCTAAGACAATATACAGTGCTTCAAGTGTATTACCATCAGAATATTTGAAAAAATATTCGAATGTTTCATCTTTCCACTACAGGAATGAGAATTATAAGAAAATGTTTTACAAAAAACAGATTCCGTAACTAAAACATACGGAGAAGTAGAGAAATTAAAATATTTGCTCTGGAGTAAACCACGATGAAAATTGAAAATCGACAGATCTCATTGGGCAAAACAGTTTGTAATTGAATTTCATATATGGATAGGAAAGTCCAAACAAGGTATTTCGCTTTTTTTTTTCAAATTATGCATAAGTAAGAAGTTTTTAATGAAACTGTACCTACTCGCTAAACATTTGATACAAAGATCATACACACACTTCTTTGTTTGATATAAGTAAGAATTCCATGCATTTTACAAAAAAAAATCAGAACTATAAGATTTGGCCATTAAGTAATACCCTGTAAGTAAAATTATGAGTATTGGAACCAGCTGTTTGAAGACATAGGCATATTAGGTTAAAGGCAGCATAAGTGTTAGATTTTCCAAAATTTGTAGATTCCATAGCAAAATATTCAACTATATCTATTACTAATATAGCTTATCAATCATAAGCTCATAACAATTAAGTTGTTCACACATGAGAATTGTTATATCGAAGTACCTCTCCTAACATTTTCAATTGTGGAATGTTGATCTCAAAAAAATATGTAGGTTTTAACTACCAACCAATTGAACATTCCTGCATTTTAGTCAGATATAAAAAAATATTCAAACGATTCTTCAGTTCTTCATTAAGTAGTATCACAATCACATAACAACATATAAAAATTTGTAGGTAGCGTCCTATTGAACACAGTTTACAATCAATCACTCCAAGAGCCAGTTGTACCAGTACTGTCAATGTTACTGGATGAACTGCCTATACTTTCACAGGCCTCTTGAAATAAATCTGGATTGACCATTTCCATCACTCGCCAAGCTAATGTTTTACCTCCTGCAAAAAATAAGGCATGAACAATGAACAAACAAAACACTACCAATTATAGTTTTCTTATTTTTGAAATTTGAATTTGCCGCGGTTTCATGACCTCAACTGCCTTTTGGTTGGTATCTATATGATTGTAATGTCAATGTCAAGACGGCCATGACATATGAGGTATGACATTTTGACAGTTTTGTTCTTGGTTGACGTATGACGTGAAGAGGAGCAGAGGTTGGTGTGCTGTGGTGGATAAAGGCAAGCATGGTGGTGCAAGTCGTTTTTTAATCGTTTTAGATTGAAAATTTGTAATAAAGTGGAGTAATTCCTGATTTGGGGTTCTATTTGTCTTTCAGTCAGGTGTTTTCACTCTAACCAAAATAAAATAAAATCATAACACTACTAAGAAATGCATGAATGAGTTATTTTTCAGTTCATGAAATTGAATATACAGGGTGTTTCTTGAGTACGTGCAGAAAATTCAGGATCATGTTGCAGACGTTAAAATAAGAAGAAAAGTTAGTATCAATATATGATCGAAAGTTCTTCGTTTCTGAGATACAGAGTATCAAAGTTGAATTCTTATTTTTGTTTTTTATTAATAAATTCCGAAATAATTGTGATATTCGAATAAAGTTCGGTTTCTCGGGGTTTTTTCAATGACACTATCAAATTTTATGTTGGCTTGTCTCTTTCGTAGGGGTGGCGCCACCTACATGTCTTTTGAGTCTTTTGAAGAGTCATAACTTTTTTGTGCGTACCTGTATCACGTTTTATAGTAGGAAAACAGATTTCTAGAACACTTTTGTGTAAAAAATATATTCCTGGTAGAGGTCTCTGCGAGTAACTGTTTTAGAGTTATTGGGATTTGACACTCTGTATCTCAGAAACGAACAACTTCCAGACATATATTTATAGGAACTTTTCTTCTTATTTTGACGTCAGCAACATGCTCCTCAATTTTCTACATACGTACTTGAGAAACACCCTGTTATATTATCTGTGATGAGATGACTAGGTAATATGTTCTTTGAATCTTGTACCTATGTTCCTACATGTTTGTCCAATTTATTTCATGTATTTCTGGCTTGGGCACCAAAAACATATTTCGAAATTTCTTTTAAGAAATATCATTTCTTTGCCATATAGTTTTTCTCACCAAAACTAAGTACTATGGAAATTTTTGATTAGAAACCTTTCACTCACCAATATGGACGTTATCCTTGATTTCCACTGAATTTTCGCAGTAATGTAATGCAGCTTTCCTCAAATTCTCACACCCACACTGATCAGCAAGAAGGAGTATATTTGGCACATTACAGGGCGTCAAACTTTCAATCAAACTCCTTTCACACAAGGCTGTGAGACCAGGTAAATTGAACCTGGTACTCAAATGCAGCAACTTTTGGGAATACTTATCGGCATTATCCACTTTGTCCGTATAAATGTATCTCACTAATTCACTGATCAGACCATGAGAATAGTCAGTCAGTTGGAGTTTGTACTTTATATTCTGAAAAAAAAAAGTAACTTGCAGTCATCAACACACAGAGTATATTGTTCTCCAGATTACATCTCCACTCGATATTACTCACTTTATCTTTCTCATCTTGGTAATCAAGTAACCTATTTCCTAATTTGGTACTTCTACACTTGATGATCCAGCTGTGAACGTTGACAGGTCTGTCGTCTTCCCCACAGGTGCATTCGATCAAAGTGTCCTTGGAATCTTGGGTGCCCATGAGCCTGCCCATATCCTGCGATAAACTGTGAACATCCTCGTCACTCTGAATTATCTGAAGTTTCACCATAATTTGGACATCTTTTGCTGAAATTGAAAAAATCGAATAGTTATGTATCAGACATATGGCAGTTACGTATCAGATATGTGTCAGTTATGTATCAGACATGTGGCAGTTATGTTTCAGGCATGTAGCAGTTATGTATCAGACATGTAGTTACTGTTACTTACAGGAATCGATGTGTCTTTCGAGGATACCGAGACTTTTGTATCCGACTGAGATGAGTTCGTGGGAATTTTGGAGGTTGAGTACCATGCTGGAAATTGAACAGCATTCCCAATGCCTTATTTTGGCATCCCAAACGCCGAATTGGAATCTCACTCTAGCCTGGCCGGTTTCTTCGCTCTCACAGCCGGTCAAATTTAGGCAGACTACCAACGGATTGGTAATTTTCTTGCCATGAGGACCTGGAAAAGTTCAGAATTATCATTCCATGAGACAAAAACAATTCGCATTCCATGTTTAAAGATGAAACAAGAATACAAATTTCTCATAATCGATTTAAAAATGGACCAAATTTATTTGATGTTTCCTCAAAATGAAACAGCTGGCAACACAGAAAAAAAGGCTGTGACGTCAGTAGTACTGATGGATAGACGAGTTTGCTGCGAAGTGCGAATGCTTTGTTTGAACGTTCTATGAAATTGTATAACATATGTTAGCTTGGTGGACGGTTATTAGAATAACACACTCTGGGTACTCCACGATTTCCAGTATATTCACAATAGGTATCAGATACAACCTAGCCGTATCACGGCTACTTCTTAACTACTTAATATTACTCATACATCGATAAATTCTACCCAAAATACCCGTCACCTTTTACATAACCCCATGTGTCATCAATAGATCAACACTCATTAATCTAGAAACACATATACAGGGTATATGTACGTAGCTCCTGGATACGATACTCTCTTACACATATTTTTTCTACTCACATAACTAAAATGGCATTTAGCGATGTACCACGCTAAATGATCGATTAATCACGGATTGTCGATCTGTGATTTATTCAAAATATTAAACACGTTACCATGGCAACACAATTTCTTAAACACATTACCATGGCAACGCAGTTCATTAAACACAGCTTCAGTAATTTGAGAAATGTCTGGCCTGTCAATTGTATTAACTGTCAGTTGTTATTATCGAATTTTGTATCAGAATTATTCAAACAATATTCGTTTGTATCAGAATTCTTCATTAAAAATATATGCGAAAAGTAGACGAGAGTGAAATCGAAGAGAATGTTCTGGTAGGTACTTGCATATCTCCAAGAAGTGTAAAAATGAAGCATCCATCTTTGAGAACAATTTATTCATTCTGCGCTAAGCATGAAAATAAACGTGAAACAAAGGGTAGTAAGCAATGGACTGGACACATCTACAACCAATATCACTTATATACGTGTCTCGCTGGTTGCATGCAGTTGCATGTATTATGTTCTCAATTCCCATTCCTTTCGAATTATGTTGTAGGTTAGCAGGAATTGCAGGTATGTTAATGTAATTTTCGGAGTTCGTAGAAAAATCATTGTACATAACGCGTTTATAAACTCTTCTAGACACTCGTTTATTAAACACTCGCTCCGCTCTGCTTCGCTCGTGCTTAAACTACTCGTTACTAAAAGGACGTTTATAACACTTGTTACATAATATACTATTATCAACAAATTGATGCATTCATGTTATATATTATTCCTATATATTTCAGTTATATGCACATTTAGATTGAATCCACTCATTTATATTCTTTTCTATTGAAACTATAAAATGATATAAATTGATGTTGAAAAACCAGTTAGATTTTTGTACGGGTGTTTAGACAGACGAGAATAATATCTGTTAGTTTTTATAATTCCACATTTATTTGCCAAGCTCGATAATTTATCACGGAAGTATTTTGTTTAGAATGGGTGGCGACGTATTTTCAAATATTCGAGGAAAGGCAGCTATTTTTCACTGAACATGTTGAAGGAACGTGATATTCCCGAGTTTCACCTGCAAAAACATGATAAAGTTACCTACGTCATCCACTTCAGAATACGTATAGGTACATTTTCATTTTGAATTCATGATTACACTTTGTGATCATTTTGAAAGTAATTTCGCTTATTTTGAACAAAATTAGAGAAATAAAATATCAAAATCAAATAACCTTGAAATAATTAGGACAAGAATAAGATCTGATGAATTATAGTAATATATGATGAGCAGTTGAAAGTGAAAGAAGACGGTCTAAAAAAACCTTTGTTAGAAATGGAAAGTGATTAGTGATGTTAAGTTTGAACAACTTTTAATTGGTAAACCAATCAAAACCGTCAATCCCTGCTAGAAATGAGAGGAATTGGCATTGGAATTCATGTTTTATAAAACCATCCATGTTAACTTTATTCGATAGTCAAAAAATCACAAGGCAAGAGAAACGGAAATATGATAAGAATGACACAATATGACTGATGAACATTTATTATCATTTTGTTTTTCGAATCACCTCCCAAGTCAATATGTCCCTGTGTATCATCAATGGTAATAATGAAAAATAATTTCTACCAATATAATCAATCATTTATTTGTGAATAGTTCAGCCTGAACACGCGTGAAGTAATTGAATGAACAATAATGGAATGCGTTCAGAAACGTCATCAGAGCTGATTTAAAGAAAACATACTTGAAAATAAATATAAATAGATGATAAGAATGTGGAGTTTTGAGATGTCCTCCTTGACGAATGTTTAGGTAAATATGAAAAATATCGGCTGTGAGAATATTTAGTTGTTGCTTACCTAAACCTAGAGGAATAAATCTAGTTATACAGGTTTCTATTCAAAAATCTTTCAAATGCTATCTGAAAATTGTCAACCACTAATTAAAAACTGTAAAGCGGCTCTTAGTAAAGTTAGTTTTTCGCCTCGTGGACGCACAGATCTTGACTTTTAAAAAAAAGTTATTTGAATTAAATCACTGACTTGATTCATATGAATTGATTCGTGCAAACCCTGTTTCAAACTGGAAATTATCATGGTTTGATTATTTATTCAAACACTCACCTTTCCAAAACCGGACAGAAATATTCCACAGAGTCGTCATACCGTTCACAGAACATCTGAACACGGGTGAATCCAGAGAGTCCTTTTTGGAAATGGTTTTGTGGAACTGCTTTATTCGCCATACCTTCCGGAACACTACCTCCGATGCCACTGGCACTTCTACTTCTTCATGTACTGTACCCACATCTGCCTCTTCTGATTCTTTCTTTGAAGAGGGGGTTTTGGGGCTTTTGGGTTTCATAGGCATTATTCTTAGTCTGCAAAATAATTATTGGTATATTGGTACAGCTGATTGCCTCTCACTATGTATAAAAGGGGATAGTATAACATCGATCATTCCATTCAGGGCAATTCCACAATTAGTAGCATCACATTTTTTCAACTTAGTCCAGTCATTATATCCAAATAACGGACCTTACCCGTGAATAATTTTTTAGTGTTTTTTTTTCATAGGTGTCTCGGGGGGGTCACTGGGAGTGTAAATTCAAAATGACGACCAAATCAAGCTTTTGCGTATGTTTTTGTTTTGTTTTGTTAAAAAACGGTTTTTCTTGAATAACTCGGCCATTTTTGATTCTACAGGAAAAGTTTGGGGACAAAAATTGTAGTAAATTTAGTTCTATACAAGTTCGGTCCTCACAATTTTTCTGATAGGATCGATATTTTGTAAATTGAACCTGAAAAAAGCGACAAATTCGAAATATTTTCATTATCTCGTTTATTTTCAACTTTACGGCATAAATGAAGAGGACTAAACTTGTGGAGAATCAAATTCTAAACAATTTTGGTTACTACGTTTTTGTTCCAAAAATCGATATTTTGGGAATTAAACCTGAAAAACGCGACAAATTCGAAAGATTATCATTATCTCCAATGCTTCGCATTTTACGGCATAAATGAAGAGGTTATTCCGCGCAGGTAGCTTGTCTGTCATGTCGGTGTGGAAAAATGGTTCCGGAACTATTTTTTTTACCAAATTTGTCCAAAATTTGATTCTCTACAAGTTTGTTTCTTCTCATTTATGTGGTAAAGTTGAGAATAAACGAGATAATGATGATATTTCGAATGAGTCGTTTTTTTTAGGTTTAATTCCAAAAATATCGATTTTCGGAAAAACAGGTGAAGACAAAATTTGTCCAAAATTTGATTCTCTACAAGTTTGTTTCTGTTCATTTATGCCGTAAAGTTGAAAATAAACGAGATAATGAAAATATTTCGAATTTTTCGCTTTTTTCAGGTTTAATTTACAAAATATCGATCCTATCAGAAAAATTGTGAGGACCAAACTTGTAGAGAACCAAATTTACTACAATTTTGTCCCCAAACTTTTTCTGTAGAATCAAAAATGGCCGAGTTATTCAAGAAAAACCGTTTTTAACAAAAAAAAAAACAGTTTTCGAACATACGCAAAAGCTTGATTTGGTCGCCATTTTGAATTTACACTCCCAGTGAACCCCCGAGACACCTATGAAAAAAAAAAACACTAAAAAATTATTCACGGGTCAAAGTCTATAATGACTTGACTAACTCCAAAACTTTCAATTATAGGCTGAAGATGGTCTTTTATAAGACCCAAACATATGTCCCTTACGATTGTGCAAGACCACCATTAAAATTTGTGGAAATGACTTCGAGCATTCCTTCCTTCCTTTTAAAACACCATATGCACTGACAGCCAGGCAGCGATTAAGGCACTAGCCTCCTTCTTGGTGTCAGAGTACATATATATCCTATAAAGGCTGTCGGCAACTAACAAAGTATGTAATGAAATGTTAAATAAATACAAAAAGCTCAAAGTCATATTCACACAATGTTCAGAACATTAAATTTCATCCTCCCGAAATCTAGGCATCGACTCGTATGAACGAATACTGATACAAAGTGCCTATTGATTTCGATCCACTCAGATGGCGTTGCTTTAATATAGTCTATGAAAGACGCCTCTGGGGGAATATAATGCCGACTTGATTTTTGTTTGGCTAGGCTACGCCCAGTCAGCGGTCTCAGGACTGTTTTTTTTTGTATATCGCTACTTCAAAGTTTTGGGAACCAACTCCCCAGAAGTCGAAACTTGTGCGGGGTTAGGAAGAGCGGGACCTACAGCTTATAGTGCAATTCGAACCACTTCTAGGGCATCGAGGTGCTGCCAGGTTTACAACCATGAATCACACATTTTGAAGAAAAATGCTCAGCCGATAGCCGGATTCGAACCGACAGTACCTCTGCATCGTGAACGGCTATCTAGCGAATTTCAGCGCATAGACAAACTCGGCTGGAGACTTTCCTGCACCGATGAGAGTCAAAGAGCTCGAAACCGGTCTGTAGGTGTCTAGCGTGGCCTGGCTAAATCGTAATCAATAGGCATTCAGGAAAGATTGACTTTGAGCTTTTTTTATTTATCTAACAAAGTATGTCTTCTGTTATTCCCTGGACACTCAGGGGTGCCTGGTAACGAAATGGCCGATAGTCTGGACAGAAAGGGGGCGAAGGGCTCAGATGTTGGTCCCGAACCATAGTCTTGAGGGTCACTCGATCCTGGAACAACTTCAGTATCAAGGAAATCATGATGGAAAGGTTCCAAGACAGCTGGAGAGAGGCTCCTGGATCCCAAACTGCATATAGGAGATCCGTCACAAAGACAGACCAATGCCCTTATGGCTTTAAACAGGAAGTAGTTGAAACTGGTGGTGGGCCTTCTGACAGGGCACTGCCACTTGAAAAAGCATCTCAGCATGATTGGAATTGTGAAAGATCCTGAATGGAGATGGTGCTTAGAGGATGAAGAGACTTCTACTCATGGACGTATAACTACTCATATCCTCACTGAATGCTCGGCAGCGCAGCAGTGGCAGCAAGGAATATCCATTTTGGGAGAACTATTATGAACCCAGGGGATAAATAGACTTCATTCATTCAGTAGTAATGTAGTACTCGTACATGCATGAGATGATTATAGATACGTTTTTTATTTTGGTATAAATAATATAATCTTTCCCACTCCATTGAGGAAACACTTGAGAACAGTGATGCTTGTATTGTATATCCTCCAAGGAATATCAAAAACGTGTGGATTTTTGTCTGAACTAGGTACCTATTTTACATATAATACTAGAAAAAATGGGAGTTTAAAATTCTCGTGTTTAGAGAAACAAAAAATATATTATGCATATAATAACGAGTAAGTGACCAACATTATATTCCTTTGTCATCAAGATATTCAGAGACATTGAGTCGGTACGTTTTAGTTCATTGACTAAACATATCAGAAAATTTTGAAGAGGTTAGAGTTGCGAAATAGGTATATATTGACTTCAGATTTATATTTGGGAAGATAATTAATTTGTTTCAGATAATTGGGCAGTATGTTGTACAGTTTTGGTCCATAGATGTTAAAAACCTTTGGCCAAGGAAAGTGGTATCTTTGGCTCACGAGATAGGAAATTCTGGTTAATTTGGCTGAATTTTTTGCTGGTCGGTTTTTATTGCCAGTGAGTGTATATATAACATAATTATATGATACAGAAAACTTTAGATTGGTTAGGTCTGAAAAGTTGAAATAACACTCTGTCTCCCTAATGATTATCTAGCCTACTGTGAACATCATCGAGTAAAGCCACAGCCATCTTGAACAACGAAATATAATTCAACAACGAATATCCCTATTACAAATGCAACTATATAGTAATTAATAGGCTTCATAGAAGTACGTTCAACCAGAAAAATACGGTCAAAAAATTGAGCTCAGTAATGAGAGTGAAAGGAAAAGTTAACTGAAAAAAGTTCTTACAGTTTCACCATTTTCAGCAAGCTCGAGTAAAAAAACACCAGCACAGTCAACCTAACTTCACAAAGATCACTATGAACTGAACTTTCCTTTTCAAATTTATATTTAACTGCATCTGACGCAAATTTCTAAAGTACGAATTATGAATAGATAGGTAGAGAAGAGATACTTAATACCTAGCGTTTTGGAAGTGGGGGTCACTCCGGCAGTTATAGAAATTAGACGTAGAGGGGATATTAGGTATAATTCTTATTATAATCCACTTCTGAAAAGGTTAAAAATAAATGCGTTACTTTGGGAAATTTAAATGAGACATATGGCAGTTCTTAGAGGTTTCCAGATCAACTCCTGAAACCATAATGAAACCATAACAAAGAAAATCCCCAAGTAGTCGATAAAAAAATATTATATTTTCATTAATGTGTAATATAAAATATCGATCTATAACAACTATTTTTCCATGAAGTTTTTCAATGTGACTTGATCTATATGTGATCATAAAATGATTTTTTCTCCTGTGTAATTCTTTATGTTGAGTCTGGCCAGCATAACCATAACGGCAAATGAAAGTGATAAACCTCATATTTTATGACCTTTGGATAATCAATCAGCTAAAAGTTGTAGACCTGAACTAATCAAATTATTTTATCTGTTTGTATGTCGACATGATTCTGCACACAATTTGGAAACAATTTTTCTCATGTTGAAATCATTGCCAATCATTGTTGTACAGCGTATCCTATTTTAGTTTAGACTGCCAGGTTTGTTCTTTTTTAATATAAAGCCTGTATTCTGTGTGTTTGAGCCCCTCTTTTTTATTACATAATTCTATTTACATTTTTCAAACAATCATCCTAATAGTCCACGTGCGTATTTTTGCAATAAAAATAAACGAGACATGACAATGAATTCAAGGATCATTATGGGAATTTCCACAGGTGCATTGAATGAGAAGCAAAAGCCTCGTTTTATTTATCTAAGATCTAATTATCACGATTCAATAAAATGTTTGGTACTGTAGAAGATAAGACAATTATGGACCACTCTTAAAATCATTGATGAATGATAAAATCCAGTGATGATATACAGGGTGACATTCGTAATAAATACCCATTTTTTTCGCCCAAAAGACTACGCTGTTGGGCGAGTAGACTGATAATGAGTTATTGGCATTCAATTGCTCCACTGTGTCGTTAATTAAGGAACTACATTAATTTTTGCAACACGTCTCACGCTTTTTTCTATGTAAATAATGAGTCTAAGCATTGTTCAAAGTTTCAGTGCTCATTTCAAAGGTACCGCATGTCCGCCATTTGGCAATACGTCGAATGAATGGTAACGTCAGTTTTTATGCTGTTTCGTTATTGGTCAGATAATCTTCCATTTCTACCAATGAAGCCAGGTTGTCAAGTCACCAATCATAATCAATTTATCAAAAAGATCATGTCTTGAATGAATCACGAGATGAAACAT